TTGGGGGGAACTGGGGGGCATGGGAGGATGGGACAGACAGGGAATGAGGGATTAATAAGTAAAATAAGAATACACACACACATAAATATGTATAGTTAAATTGTGGTAGCAGTAACACATGACTGAAACAAGAATTCTTAGTGCCCTGATATCATGTCTACTGTGAGGAGCAAAACAGGAAGGAGGCGGGATGTGGGAGGATCAGATAGAGTTTAAATGCTATTGTTTACCTTACAGTTACACACAAACACAATTTTAAAATTAGATAAATGGGATGTGTAAAGGACAAAGCTATTTCTAGGTTTTAATGTTCTAAAAATATTTTCCATACATTCTCTTTGTACACATGTCACCCATCCTGGAGCAATATAGTATCTTAGTTAGGTTTAGTATTGCTTTGATGGAACACCATGGCCATGGCTACTGAAGGAAGTCAGAACAGGAACCCAAACAAAGCAGGGACCTGGAGGCAGGAGCTGATGTAGTGGCCATGGAAAGGTGCTGCTTATTGGCCTGTTTGCCATGGCATACTCAGCCTGCTTTCTTATAGAACATAGGATCATCAGCCCAGGCATGGCCCCACTTATAATGAACTTGACCCTCTCTCATCAATCACTAACTAAGAAAATGCCCTAAAGGATTGTCTACAACTTGATCTTATGGAGGCATTTTCTTACTTGAGGGGTTTTTTTTATACCTCTAGTTATGTAATGACTAGTATAAATTTACATTTGCTTTTCCTACAACACTTTTTCTACTTTTTACTTCTATTTTCATATTTTGACAAATGTATTTTGTTTTTTACAAGTACTTAACAAGTTTAAAACTCATTAAGAATAGTGGTGACATTTAAAATTATAATTTTAGTAGAAATAGCATCTCCTAGATACAAATTTGACCCAGGAATTGTCTTTATTTTTATTGTTTTTTCCTTACACCAACCCTACATATTGAACATTTTAAAAAATACAACTTAAAAGAAGAAAATCAGGCCTAACAGAATCAATGCTTTCTGCAGTGTTAGGCAGAGTGACAGCGACTGTTGCCTAACAGACTAAGGAGTTCATGTCTTTGGTTTTGTGAATATGGATAAGACGTATTATATATTTTATGTTTCATGAAAAACAGATTTTGTATTTGTTAATTCGCATTTTTTTTCATCAGTGAACTAGGAGTTTTTCCCTGAAATGTCCAGGTGTTTGATGATGTAAACTGAATAGCATAGTAGGACAAATGCCTTTTGTGCTGCCTAATTTTATGTTAACCTGAAACAAGCAAGGTTCATTTTAAAATAAGGAATCTGATTTGGGAGAATATTCCCACAAGATGGGTATGGGAGTAAGCCTGTGATGCATATCCTTGTTTGAAAATCAAAGCGATAGGAACTCGGCTACTGTGGATGGTGTTACTCCTGGGTGCTATATCGAAGTAATGAACAAGTCAGTAAGCACAATTTCTCCATGACTACAAGATGAAATAAACTGTCCCCTTGAAGTTGCTTTTGGTCATGTTGTTTTATCACAACAATTGAAACTTAGACTACAACCCCATCATGTGAATCACTAAAAGTGGACATTTACCAGCTGATGGAAGAAAATGGAATAAGAAAAGTGTAACAGGAAAGAAGCTGGAGAAACCCACATTAAAGAAGAGGTTGAAGACACTCTGCCTGCAGGCAGGATCTATTGGGAGGCATAATAAGCCGAAGCATTTTCTAGAAGCCAAAGTCATCATTCTCTTACCCACAGCAAGTAAGGAAAGAAGATATTGCAAAAATGCCCACTAATGTGTGATGAATAAGAAGTAGACAATTATTTATGCTATAGCAAAATGGATTATATCCCACAAGAAAATCTATAGCTATAGCACATATAAGAACTTTGAGCATCAAATGGAATCCATTGATTTGAACAGAGATGTTCCTTTTTAAAAATATTTAGTTTTAAAATTTGGAATTAAAACACAATTATATAAATTTCCCCTTCCTTTTCCTCTCCCAACCCATCCCATGAACCCCTCTGCTCTTTGCTTTCTCTTAAATTCATATTCTCTTTTGATTTAATTGTTGGGTTACATCAACATAAAATATGTGAATAAAATAATATAGAATAACATACAATTTATATGCATATATACCTCTAAATATATGATTACAACCTGTTCATTCTTATACAGTTTCTTATATGTCTATGACTTCAGGGCTTGTAATTAATTTGGGGAGGTGGGTCTTTCCTGGAGTAGACTATATCACATTCACAGCATTCTTTAGTTGCTTATAGTCCTATGCCTGGGGTTAGTGTTTGGAAGCACATTACCTTTCATTATGAATGTCTTCATATTTCATATTAGGTATTAAATTTGCAATATTTGCTTTATCAAAAAAATAGGGAACATTTCCTTGTGACCTTGAATAAAAATAAGCCACAGAAATGTCTACTAATGAATACCTCTGACAAATCAGCTTATTTGTGACAATTGCTTGACTTGTATATGTACTTCAAAACTGGAACTCAACTGCCATTTAGAACTCTATAGGGTCAATGTTGTCTCATGTCTCTGAAGTCACCATGACTGGGAAGTTTAAGAAGCAACTAGAAAGCTGAGTTGAGTGATTATGTCAAGTGTATAAACCTGGAAATTGTCACTAGAGGAAATTAAGTGACAATACATCACTTTTCTTAGCACATGATTTTGTCAGCTCTCCCGCAGCTTTTCAGATAATCTGCTTCTTCCTGGTGCCTGAGTGTTACCATGTTCTTAGCATTTGGACAGCTCTCAGGAGCAAACTTTCTACCTAAAGAAAGGCTGATTGTAAAGCTGACCTCATCACAGTGGGCTAATGTAATAGACAAGAACGGGGAAATAGAAGCTGGGTAATAAAAACAAACCAGGAAATATTGATCCCAACCCAGCAGCAGACTGTTTAATTTAAAAGACAGCTCTTCAGAAAATCCTTTTTTGTGTTGTCAAGCAAGTGCTGGAACCTGTCTATCCTTACAATCATTCCATTAGAAACACACAGAGGTGAGATGCTCTTGACTTTCCAACAAACAGGAGGGCAAAGGATACATGCAGTTGAATTTCTCTACTCTCACAGACTGCCACTTTTAATTGCTGCTGTTTGGAGAAGAGAGAGAGATACTTTCTCCTCCTGCACTTCATTACTTTCTGCTTTCTGTCAATGCAAAACAGATGTGTGAATCCAATTAATAATTTTCCTTTAACTTACAGACTTTCACCTTCCAAAGTCAGACTTACTGTTTACCTTCCCTTGGTTTTCTGGGTTACTGTTGCATCTGGACTACAAATGAAAGTGCTGATTACATTTGATGGATGCAGCCTGAAAGCAGTGGATTTGAATCTGCTGTATAGAAAGGTTTATGTCCTCTATGTGCTTACTGGGTGTTGCAAGACAATTCTATTAGGTGATATCTTGAGTTCATAGTAAGGAATACAAAATAAATAGAGTTTTAAAGGATTTATATTTGAACTAAAACTCCACTTTATCAAGGAATCTTTAGGAATATTAAGAAGAAATACACATTGTAGTCACTTCAAGCAAATTTCTGCCAAGCAAAGGTAGTCCACTCAAGAGTTATTTATGACTCTTGAGTAAAATATTATCTATTATTGCACAGAATAACAATGTTGCTTATTATGGCTTGAATCTAAAATTTCACACTGATAGTGCATGTGTTAAATGTTGGCTAGAAGTTGACATCTTCAAGGGCTCTACATTCCGCATGGGCTAATTGATGGAAGAATTTACTCTTTCTCTTTATGGCTTTGTTCTTCATCTGCACTGAGTAGGACTTTTATATCACACCCTCTCTGCTCTCAGGTTCAGCATGAGTTCTGGCTTAAAACTATTGAGCTAATCAAATGCTAATACGTACTGCCAAACCTCTGGAGCCATGAGCCAAGTTATTTGCTTCTCTCAAATTGTTGTTGGTTAGTTAGTTTGTTTTGACGTTGTGTATTTTGTTGCAGCAATGGAAAACTAAACAGTGATGTTCAGGTTACAATAGGACCTCTAATTTGTACACCTGCGTTCTAAGTAGGTTAAATATTAATATGCTAAATTCTATAAGCACCATGATTTTGTTTCAGATATATGGTGATTTTGTCTCAGACTTATAAACACAGCCATTGTGTAAGCCATCCACTTCTTTCTGAAACTAGAGTCTGTCAAACATTATCATTATTCATAAAGAGAAAGGAAGTGGGAAAGGATTCATCTTAATTTGAATTCCTATGGATATTGCTTGGATAGGAAAACCTTCGTGTCACTAATTTACAATTCATACGGATCTTTTGTCACACGGACTTTGAAGTCTTGTCAGAACAGTTACCTAATTTATATGGAGCACCCTGGAGTCAGTGTCTCTTTGTAGTGTTATTTGTAAAAAGACTAGGGTACTGCTTTAAAGCTATGTAAGGGGACCAGCCAATCCCTTGCCTTCATATTGTCTTCTATACTCTTTACAATTTTCTCTCCTATGCATGTGAAATTATAAACTACATTTGTCTTTGATACTTTCATTTTAGGAGTGTCACAGGCAAGAATAAAGTTGTTCTGAAGTTAATACATGGTATCTTGATAAAGAAGAAAGGATTTAGCATGAGTTTGTATGTGTTTGTTTCTGTATGTGTTGGGGGACATATATATGTAAGATATACAAGAAGGACAATGGATATAGCACCTTTAGAATTGTCATCTTTACTCATATTTTCTTTTATCACCTAACCCATTTTCATTAGTTCAGCTGGGTGCCATAGCTTTACATTTGAGACACTAATAAGGTTTTTAATTAATATTTAGACTCTGTTCTCTAAACACAAACTAGTGACTTTATTTCAAGTTATATGAAAGGTAAATATATTGTAATACCAGAGGCTCAGTTTTCAGTAAGGAAGCCAGAAATCATGCAAAGAATCTTCTATGCAATTGTGTATGCTTTTATTAGGTAAACAACATCCCAAGACCTCCATTACAGTACCTGTGACCTTTAGCTTCTCAGCCCCAATAGTTATCTCATCTTCATCTGCGGAAAACAGCACCCTGCCATCTTCGCTTGCTCTCACTTCAAATCTTTTACACTGTGCCTCCACAGCCTCAGCGCCTGTAGTGAGACGGAAGGTTTCAAAATGAAGCTGGGATGCACAACACCGTTTGCATGCATAATTTCATAAACAAAAGAGAAATGCACGTATTGCTCATCTTGGCTGCATATTATACACCAGAATGAACATTTTTTAAAGATGTTATCCTTATCAAAAGCCCCTGATTTCACTGAATGTTTCCATGCTATATTAAATGGCCATGCATATTCCTTTTAAATGTTTAAGGTTGTTCTAATATAGTATGTGCGTTTAGCCAGATGTAAACATCTGACATATCCACAGGGGACATGATGTCTGCTTTGATCTCTACCGGAGGTGAAGATTTTTCGTTCGTTTCACCTTGTATGTGGTACGTAGGTGCTTAATAAATGGGGCCAGTGTGACTCACTTCCCTCTGCAGTGCAGACCACAGAACTCGCATTGCTACCTCTTTGGGTATTCTAAGGAACCAATCATTTGTGAATCTTCAATTACTCACATTTCATAGATATTAGTGTAGATTTCTTCTTGCCCTTTAATGTCAATGAATTTAAATCCATTTATAATCACTCTTGCAATAGATTTGTTTTTATAGTAATTTTTAAATTCTCCTTATTCCTTGAAATGTAAGCAAACTTAACTACTCTAAAGTAAGCATCTTAACTACTCTAAAGTCTAATTCAAACTGGAAAGAGGAATCCGTCCCCTATGCTACTCTCCACTCTTCTTCAAATTCATAGCCCTTTTTACTAATGAACTAATTGTTCTTGTGCATGTATATAGATATATTTGAATGTATATTATACATGTATGGACACACATATATGTATACACACATACATTCTTTGTTAATTAATTTTATTTAAATTAAAAGCAATCTTAATTACATATCAATCCCAGAATCCCAGTTCCCTCTCCTTCCCACCTTCCCATTTCACCCCCCATCCAGTCCTCATGGAGGGTGAGGCCTTCCATGGGGGAATCACTGAATTCTGTAACATCATTTGGGACAGAACCTAGGCCCTGCCCCATGTATTTAGACTGAGAGAATATCCCTCCATAGGGAATGGGCTTCCAAAGCCCATTCATGCACTAGAGATAAATAGTGATTCCATTGTCAGCAGCCCCATAGGCTGCCCAAAGCTCCCTCCCCAACTGACACCCACATTCAGGGTGCCTGGTTCAGTCCTGTGCAGGTTCCTCAGCTGCCAGTCTTGAGGCCATGAACTCCCACTTGCTCAGGTTGGCTGTTTCTGTGGGTTTGCCTCTCTACAACTGAATTCCATGAGTTCATCTCAGTGCTTAGCTGTGAATCTCTGCTTCTGCTTCCATCAGTTACTAGATGAAGGTTCTATGACATATACATTCTTAAATTTAATCTGTTCAATCCGTATGATGTTACTTGTATGCATGTTTTTAGGGCAGACCATTTGGCACTGAAGAAACAATTGACCACCTCACCCAGTCGCAGCTTTCCCCATCTGCACATAGCTCTTTATCCTGTGGCCTCATTTTCTTTTCTCATCCATGCTGACTTGTCCATTAGGATAGTTCTTGTTCAGCTCATGTTTGGGTAGTCATGTTGGTGAGACTTTATGAGTGTAGTTTCTGATATTACAATGAGACACAATCTCACAGAAATTTCCTAATCTTCTGGCTCTTACAGTTTTTGTTTTTTTTTTCTTTGCCACCTCTTTCACAAAAAAGCCCATTTCTCTTGCCTTTCGTTATTCCCAGAAATGGAATATAAGTTCCTATTGCTGTATATACTCTATAATTCATATATAGACCCCAGAGACTCCAGAGTTGGAAGTGTTCTGAATAACCTCTCCCAGCTCTCATGGTAACATATGGTACTTTCAAAAAGAGAGAGGCAGCGAATAGTCCTACCTAGCCCTGATGCCTATGAAGGACATCAGCTAAAAGCATAGCAGTATAACCCTGAGGGTTCAGTAGTGCCTTACATACCTTTTAGGTAGCCAATAAATCTCTAATTTGGGGCAAGATGCCCTGAACAGGAGGGAAACATTTCTTTGTACTGGAAATTTTGCTAACTGCTCACTGATAGTGAATTCATGGTAATTGGAGGAGAATCCATAAGCACTAATTTACCAACCAATCATAATCACTAACAACAATCTATGAACATTTGTCCTTAAACTCATAGAAAATATAGTTTTTACCCCTCATCCAGAAAACACTTCTTTCTTTGCAACAAATTGTAAACTGCAATCAATTAAAATCATTTATCTTTTTTAAAATCAAAGATCTTTTCTTACATCATTTAAAGACAATGCTGAGGTAAACATCGAAGGCTTACTGTCATTGGTCATCATCTTCATTTTGTGAATATTATTTCAAAAGGTAGTATTCATTTGAATGTTTTGTTATCTAATTATAGTCTAAACGTGTATGTTTGCATTTAGGTATTGTAGCAATGTAACTCAACTGATAGACAATCAAAACATTGAAGCCACCTCGTTCACAAACTAGAACTCTAGGTTTACAAACCTCGGGGTTCATATTTGTCTTCAAGAGACTTGGGCACACAATGAGCCTCAATGATATGAAAAGATTTTATAGATCTTCTACACATAAATCTTTAACAATCATGCCACATTACCATCTTCAAATATACTCAATTACTGAGGTAAATTGATTCACATGTTTTATTTGATGGCATAGATGTGCACTAGATAATTATACACATATGAAAACATTATATGCCTCCACAGATGAGCAAGAATTTTCTAGGTATAGTGATTAATGCATTTATTTAGAAGATGCTATATAAATATTAAAATATGTGGCATACCACATAAGCTATTACAAATAAACTATCAGAAATAAGTTATTAGAAACTTCAGTATGGTAGTGTCTGGCTCTGGCAAAGGGTTGAAATTTTAATTCATTAACTTTAAATGAGCAAAGACAAATAAGTAAATTGCACAATATTTATGCATGCAGAATAGATGAGATGCATCTAAGTCATAAATTCATGCATGCAAAAAGCATCCAATTGAAAAACAGATATAAAATTAATTCTTCAGAGTACACTTTATTCATTATATTAACATAATTACAGTTGGCAAAATTGTAAGCAATTAGCAATGACTTGATAGTAAATAAATGTTTTATATCAGAATATAATTATATAGCATTATATTTACATGTATTGCTTTTCTTTTCTACAAATTGGCAAGAAGTAAAACTATATAGTTGGAGACATAATCAGTGATTGGGACTATCAATGTTTGTCATTAATATATTATACATTGTGATACTGAACATAGTATAATTTGAACTTGTTTTTGGTTGCTTATCATTTGTTTGCTTCTAGTGTCATTTTCACTTATAGGCAAAGTACACTTGTCTAAAGGCATAATTGCATTAAGTAGGAAAAATAATGAACTACTATCTTGGCATTGTCTAAGAAGAAAAAATAACAAACTGCTTTTACACTGTCACAGTCACCATTGGAGACCAACAGCCATGGATTTGCAGAAGCTCATGGCTACAGATGAAGAAGAATGCCAGCAAGCCAGCATGGAGAGCATCAGCTAACACACCAAGACCATGTGCAACATGATGAGATGTGTGTTGCTTCAAGCCCTGTGAGTGATGCACCATGGAGCTGCTCAGGGCTTTCCAGTACAAGCATTCCTACTTGATCATCAAGAAGTTGGGGGAGGAAGCACATCCATGCCAAGAATAAGTGGGAGGAACTGAGCAACAGCCAGCTTCCTTGGAGGAAATATATACATATACATATATACATATACATATAAATATATATATTTCTTTCCTGAACATAAAATGACAATAAATGTTCAAATACACATTTTTATCAGTGTATGTTAGACTTTACTTTGTTTTGTAATACAAGTGTCATTAAAACTTACATGTGGACTATATCCTAGGAATGTCTCTCATGGGGGAAGATAGGTTAGAAAATGAAGAGAATAAAGAAGAGAATCTCAAGCCAGGCTGGAGGATTCTTCTCTCCTGACTCTGAATTCTTCCGTATGCCATTCTCCTGGGACTCTATGAAAGTTATGTTTATCCCTCCTCCCTATAGTCACTGACCAATGGATTAAGGCCACAGCCGTCCTTTGACTAGCAGGAACTAATATAGTGATGGGAATACTCAAATTCAGAGGTACCTTTTCCTTTTCTTTCTCTCCCTGATAACACCCATCAAACTTTGCCTATACTAACAGTATGCAGTTATTTTTCCCCAATAAAGGCTTACTTCTTAGTTGTGATGAATGCCATTATTTGTCACTTTCTTTTTAGCACATGTCTCTCCATCCTTGTCCCTGAGAAAAGTTTAGTCTACAGAATAACTTATAGCCATTTTTCAATTGTATATTTTTATGATTTATAGCTCAGATATAGGTCATCTATTTTAGGTTCATTAATATTTTTAAATCTGTTCATTTAAATTTAATGAATTAACACTTCAACTTCTGGTGAAATTAGTTTTTATTAGCCTCATCTTTCATTTTGTTAATTTTATGTGGTGTGTGCTTTTCAAATGCTTTCTTAGATTCAATAAATAAACATTTAACATATTTTTATTTCCTGTGTTAATTATACCTTTAATTTCCCATATGTATCTCTCTGTCTCTCTGTATTATATGTGTGTATATTTTTTGTGTTAATTATACTTTTAATTTGTTGTTACTTCACAGGGCTCATGTGTAGTAAAGACTATTGCAAAGCTGGGCAGGAGTTTCCTAAGTGTAATCCCAGGATGGGATGTGGAGGCAAGAAGGATCATAAGGGTATGGAAGCCGAAGTCTCAGGAGTTCAAGGTCATTGTAAGAAATAAATTGTTGTGGTCTGTTTTCAGAATAATTTCAGAAAAAATATTTCTAACTTCAAAGCATCACAAATAAGCAGAAGACATTATTCCCACTCTTCCCTAGAAGGCAACTGGTACCTGCTTCTCTCCAAACTCCAGGGAGTGAAGTTACAGGCAGTTTGACACATTACTGAGCCCAGGATGAGAAAGCGG